ACCATGAACTGGAGAGCGACGAACGAATTTGCCCACGATCCTTTCGAATAGTAGTCAAGCGCGATTAAATAGCGTCGGACGTTTATAGCCATGTGGTAAAGTGGAGTCCTGTTCAAACGTCCAAAAAACCGTCCAGGCCTTTGAATTGCCAATGGTACAAGTGTACTGATAATTTCAAAATGGCCATTGCAATGTCCATAATCTCTGTCATAAATTTTGCCGATTACAGTTAATTGCTTGCTTGGACGAATCAGATCACGCTCGAAATGCTTAACCTCTGTCTATTATGCCATACACTGACGTTTTCGTCGATAAGCCGCTGAATGTTTACAGCTGAAGGACGTGCTCACTTTATGTTGCATCTTTGTTAAAGTGCAAAACGGAGAAGCCACCGAATTCCGACTTAGGGATCCAGAAACACAATTGCGTTTGGATGAATAAATCGCATTTAGGACAACAAAACCTTTCAGAGACTTATTCGCACACATTTGTTGACCTATGTAATTAACTTGTTATCTACGTTCCCAAATTTGTGTTTTAAAATGTTTTTGTTGATGGAATAGGACTGATGGAATGTGACAGGCGAGGCTAATGGACATTTCAATTTCAAACACAGGATCAGATTTTGGAGATTGACATTTACTGCGACAAAGTCACATCGAGGGGCTTAGAAAAATTCCAGCGGTCAACGTGATAGAAGGCAGACAGTTAACATCTGGAGAACAATATAGATATGTATAAGGCTTCTATTCATTTAGAAGGGATCAACGTTATTATTTGTTTAGTAGGTCGCTATTTACTTTGCATAAAAGTTATCTGCTGCCTAAGAAGCCAGTACTATAGGATGTTTAATGGGACAGTTGAGGTCGTAGGCAGGCAATTAATTCATTTAACTTTAATTATGAGCCGCTTTACTAAGAAATTCGATGAGGTATACATACAAAGCATGCAGGTGACCTGTTCGACTGATACCAAGTCGCGCGCATGTTGGAAAGTCAAATTTTATAAGTAACGTGCTAGAAGGTCGAAATTTTAAGAAATAGTTTTGGTATCTGACTCCGCAGGAATGCAAGCTAATATTATATTGATCTATTGTTACCTTTTGGAGCATTTCCCGTCTCTGTTTATACGTTCAGTGGCACCCTCCTGCTTATAGTCCTGCCTAGAGTTGATAACCAAGGACTGATCTGGACATCTTCGGTTGCCTCTTCTATGGCTGTGATTTACTTAATTTAAACGAACATTTTCATAGTTTTCTTGTTTTTTTGAAGAAGTAAAATACAGAAAAATCAGTAACTGAAAAGCGATGACAATACAAATTGATTGACAATATGCTTTCACTCATTTAGAACATATTTCGAAAAACGATAGTTGTCGTTCTTCGTTAGGAAAAATAACTGTTTTATGTGTTCACATAAAATGGCTTAATTAAAATGAATGACTCTTAATCCTGCCGCGGGACTAAATGGTGACTAATCGTTCTGTCCAGCATTTTCGAAATTCAATTCCGATGTTTTGCTGTGTAAGGTATTTAAGCAAGCTGCGTGTAAACGTGATCCGTTAGGCGAACGAAATATCTCATTTAATAAATACCTTAGTAAAATCTGATTTTAGGTTTCAAAAGGGCATATTCACTAAACGGTAAGGAACTTTATTTGCAGTTGCGCGCCCGTTGTGGAAAAAACTTGAAATAAGTAACAGAAATAAGCAATAAATAGATAAATAAGAGGCATTATCATGAACCGTTTTTACTTCTAACTAGATCTATCTTAGCTGATCAGCAGTTGAAAGTCACGCTGTCCATATTTTTTAACTTTTTTTTTCGAAGTTGTTACGGTTCAAACGTTTAGCAAAGATCTTACCATAACACAGGCAGATATTCTCTGCTTGCATTACACGGTTTATATGTAAACATTGACGAACACATCCTGAAGTCACTCCATCAAATGCAGTGCAGTCCATACCTGATCAACTTATCGGGAACCTCGTAGTAAGGATGTAAGGACGGCCGCTGTTTTCCATAGTAAACCTGCTGTTATTTCCACGTTCCAAAAATGCGCTGTTATACGCGGACAGTCGGGCGTGAGTGGTCAATAGCGGTCAATTATGCCGATGCGGCTCTGTGTACCCGACCTCAAATTCTGTGTGGAAGGCACGCTGGGCAATTCGGTGGCCTTGTTAATTAATGTGTTGGAGTGCGTGTCATGATTTATAATAGCAGGCGTGCAGAATGAGGCAGCTGAAGTTAATCAGCAACCTTTCAAGCCAAAAACTGGTAGAAAGACGGTTGAGCAGAAAAAATCAACAATGTGCATGCAAATGGACCCTGGATTGGAGACCGTGCCTGGCAAGACAGGCCTGGTAAATCACAAACGAGACAGTACATTTCCACGGAAACATCGTCCAAAGGAGAAGGGTGTTGATGTATATATACGGGAAATGTTTAGTGTCGTTCTGAAACACGGTAGTTTTTATTTGGGAAGACTACTAAGTTGGGCACATAACACAAATCCCAATATTTTTTGGTCTGTCTGGAGTGTGAGTTTTTTTTTTTCTAAATGAAGTTTTACGGCTGCCTGCTAAAACAGCTACCTCTAAGGTAACTTGGTGTACCAAAAAATTAAATATCCAGGGTTTATTGTGATACAGTATGGCGAGTGCGGCATGACACATTCCGCAATTTGAAAAAGACCGGTAATCACCCTCACACCAACATTGAGAAGGTTTGCAATACCGTTTAACATGCAGTCCCATTTTAATTTTTCAGTCATGCTAGGATGCCTACTCTGTGATAAGCTTCTTTCTGGCCACTGTGAGCAAGTTGACTCTCTTTAAAGGGGCTGCGTTAATAGTATGCATTTATATCATTGTTTGGACTGCCTTTATAAATTAAAATATATTTTGTGGAAAGCATGCACGAAAAAATCCTCTCTTTTACTTTTGTGATAGCAGATTACGCCCTTTTTAAATTGTATTCTTAAAGGAAGGGTTCCCTTTGGTTTAAAAAAATTTATAATTTTGAGTTTTTTCTACGACTAAGCGGGGCTCATTCATAATACAT